CGTGGAAGGAAAAGCCTTGTCGTGGTATTAGTGGAGAGATCAGAGGAGACCTATCAGGAACTGGAGGGAATTCAAGGACTGTATAATAGAATGTTTTCAAACCGACTGGGGAGGAGATTTCTATGAGCAGTTCTTTGCTCTGGCACAGGAGGGATCAGTAGCAGACTACCGGGAGCAGTTTGAGCACCTAGCCAGTAGGGTGGAGCGATTATCAGATACGATATTGGAGGGGAACTTCATGAAGGGATTGAAGGCAGAGATCCGAGCAGCATTGAAGGTTTTGATGCCTCGTGATTTGGGGGAGGCCATGAAGTTGGCGAAGCTGGTAGAAAATCAGAAGAATCTAGAGAAGGGAGCCAGGAGTAGCAGCTCAGGAGGCTCTTATAGGATGACAACCTCTCTTCTAGCTCCCAAGGGGCTTGCATCAGGAAACATAAATGAGACCACCAGGGAGAAGTCAGTAGGAGGAGGGAGTGGGAAAAATTTCAAGAGGCTGACAGAGACAGAGATGTAGGAGAAGAGGGCAAATGGGTTGTGTTTCAGGTGCGAGGAGAAGTATACGCTAGGGCATCGGTGCAAGGACTGAACTCTTCAGGTTCTCATTGTCTGCGATGAAGAGGAAACAGAGGAGGGAGGTGAGGAGATGGAGGAGAAGCTACACTTGGATCTAGCTGAGCTTTCCCTGAACTCAGTGGTAGGATTCACTATGAATCATACCATGAAGATGAAGGGGGAGATAGAGGGCAGGGAGGTGGTAGTGCTAATTGATAGTAGGGCTACCTACAATTTTATTTTCACTCAGGCCATTGACCAATTAATTATTTTTATTATAATTAAGTACTAATTATGATAAATAGTTATAATTAATTACTTAATTATAATATATTATCGTTATCTATTAACTAATTAATTATTATTAATTATAATTAATTAAGGTCAATAAAAAAAGAAACATCTCTCTCCTTCGATCCTCGTGTCAACACCGACAACCCCGCGAAGGTACGAATTTTCTAAACTCAGATTGTCGCTTTCGTTGTATGCGGCGGACCGGAAAATCGCCTATACACGCCTTTATTGCGCGTGGTGGGATGGGACCCCGGTCTGACGCTTACGATAAGCCGGACAATCACCTAAACTCTACTTCGGCGTTCGTGGCGCACCGGAAAATCGCCTATACATGCCTTTATTGCGCATGGTGGGATGGGACCCCGGTGCGGCACCTACGGCGAGGCGGGTCACTTATAAGTACCCCCGAGCGGGGGGAAAACAAATTGTGTCTTTTAAACAGGTACCATCAAAGACCTCATACACGCCTTTGTTGCGCGTGGTGGGATGAACAAAAAAATCACGGCCGCGGTGTCCTCGTCCGAGGACACCTATCATACACGTCTTTATTGCGAGTGGTGGGAAATGCTTAGTTTTCCGTAGTCTTCCCCTAAATAGGGGAGACGCTGGGAGGTTGTCGAAATTTCGGGTGAAATCGTACCTGGACCTAATTGAACTCAAAGAACAGTGGTTGACTTGTGAACTTGATTGGACCAAATTGACATAAAAGAACTCAAACTCAAATGAACTAAGTACTGTGGACATACACTCAATTTGAACAAGAACCTGAACATACAAAATTGACTACAAAGGACATGAATTGGGACTTAATTTGAATATCAAATGAACATGAACTTGGACTCTCATTTGAACTTCAACTTGAACTCATGATTGGACTTGAGCTAGAACAAGATCTTGAACTCAAATGAGTTTGGCGCGAGGAGCTTTGACTTGAACATGAACATGACAAAAGAATTAAAGCAAGATAGCTTGAACTTCATTTGAACTTAGTCTAAATCATGGTGGACTAAGCTTGAATTTGAATAAAATATAAAGGACACAAAATGAAACTAAGAAATATTGGGCTTGGTTTTAAATGAAGCATTTGAGTTGAACCAAACTCAAATGAATGAGTGGACTTGACTTTGAACATTCAAACTCAAAAGACTTGAACAAATGATAAAGGACTTGATGACTTTAGACAACAGTGCACTTTTATGAAGAAGGAATTTTGTGATGAATACGGAAGCTCGCACACAATCAAAGTTACTCAAGTGTAAATAAACACTAGGCTCCAACAAATGACAACGATCAATGACATGAAGTTTCCCATAAAGATCAAGAGTCCTCATGTAAATGTCAACTAGCAACAATGCAAAGATATGCAATACATACAATCTCTCGACAAATGCAGATGTATGTATAACATGCCACCCCTGGGTAGATGCATAAAGACTACAGTAAATGCAATATCCTGTAGTCAACTTCAGTCTAAGGATGAATACATCTACCTCCAACAGTAGTGGCTGTATTGTAAAGACCAAAATCACATAGAGACTACAAGTTCCTACGAGCTTCTACAATCCAAGGCAGGAGATTAGTTAGTGCACTATGATCCACCTACAAAAAGTAAATAGTGCACGACAGTCTACCTGTACAAAGCCGCAAACAACTGATCCAGAAGCTTCTACGCCATGCCACCGGAGCCGCAACTTCCATGCAAGCGGACTGAAGGCATCTACAAATATTTCAAAATACCCTTGCACGTGCACTGTAATTTGTATACACATAGGTACACTAAAGGGGAAAATACAATCTGAACCCGCATGGGCCCCGACGAGCGTGTTATTGATACACAAGTGACGTCTAGGGATGTTGCGCGGCCTGACAAGTGAATTAAAGTTCGAAATCGATCCTTCTATACAGGTCAATAGAAGTCTATAGGATTCGAACCAACAAACAAATATACGGTTGTAGCGACCATCATATTTGTCTTAATATGTTCATATTAGGCCTTCAAGGTCTATAACAACGAGAATTCACTATCAAGGGCATAAAGCTTACAAAATCTGATCCTCTATCGTCAAGTTGATAGGGTTGACAGGGTTCAATCAATAAAGAGAAATAATCCCAAACACCTCGATGATGGCTGCGTTGAACAATAAATCTCAACCGGAGGAGTCCATTCCAAGTACTCAAAATTCCATTCCAAATACTTCAAATGCCCATGAAAATCCAAAACTCCAAAAAATCCCAAAAATTTGAAAAATATTTAAAATGAAATAAATCCATCAACCCACTGAAAGCAAAATCCATCCAACCTCCGCAACAGTTTGCTGAGGTGGATAAATTAAATACTACTTAAGCTCACAAAGAGCCAAATGCCTAATCGAAAATATCACTAGGATCCATTCTCAAAATAGTCTCCTGCTAGTAAGGACGTGGTACGTGTCCTCTAACCGGCAGTTTTGCCGCCAAATGACACTGCAGGTAAACGGTTATGACCCGGAGCTCTTTGAACCGAGTGATTTTGCCGCCAAACGGCACCACGAAATACCGGTTAGGGCCAGAGCCAATACGCTCCTTATTGGCATCAAATCCTTGAGATATGAATCAATATGATATGATAGATAGGGTACAAAGCCCTCTGTTAGTTAAGGTGGGTTCAATTTTGTCCCCTTATGCAAATACCCACCCCAGGTCTACAAGGTCCCCTTGGACGAAGCAAACCATGGCTGCCGACAAGGATCAGGGACTACCTCCTATGACTAAGTAGATCAGGGACTACCTCCTATGACTGCCGACATGGGTTCAATTCTGTCAGGTTGGGTCGACTACCTCCTATGACTAAGTAGATCAGGGACCACGATGGTCCGGGATGACGGAACCATGGGATCTTGATCGGGTCCATCATCCATTCTCCCACCATCCGCTTTAAGTGCAAGATGGCGTAATTTCTATTTTGAATATCAAAATCTTCAAATTCCCAACTATTTCCAAACTTTCCAAACCTTTCCAAATACCCAAATCCAAACCCAATTTCCAATTTCCAAACCCAATGATGCTGCTATATGCCAGTTAACACGTATTCTCTACGTATCTGATTGACGACTAGCCTTAATCGAAAGTTCTCTCTCGTGATCGGGAGGGTAATTAACTATAGGGGCTTGCGCCTATAGAAAACTAGAACTCAGATCATAAAGTCCTCGCAAAATGAGGGCGAAATCTCTGGTTAGTGTCTTATCTACAAACCCATCTGCCTTCCAAAATTTACCCCGGAACTTATTCCGTTAAAACTCCCTCGCCGAATAAAAAGAAAGCGAGCGGAGGCCGAGGCCGAATTTTCGGAGCCCACACAATTCCAAAGTTAATCCAATCATCTTTTGAATTTAAATCATCTTAATTGCAATCTTAAAATTGAGTTAGCCAATATTTTGATAAAAGATAATTTAGAATACTATTTTAATAAAAAAATTCTCAAGTGCCAAACAATCTTGAGATATAATTAATCATAGGGGTTTGCCTTTTTGAGGGACTTGCATCCCGACATAAATTAAGCATTACTCAATCAAATATATTATGCAGGAGAAAATATTTGTGAAATAAAAGTTCAGAACTCTTTTTTGTTATTGAGTCTATATCTAAATAATATTTTTGTCTTTCAGAATAATATATTAATTTATATGCTGAACTCAATTACAAATTGTTTCAAATCTGTTGATTAAAGTTTCCCATCTAGATGATTATCGTTTGAACTTCTTTTTTTCTTCATTTTAGTATCCTGACTTTTCATATGATATATTAAAAATACGAATAATTATTTGCATTAGTACCTAGTTCATGCTATGCTTCATTTAGGATAACGAAAGTGGCAACTTCGTATGGTTAAATACATTTAGGCAAGCACATGAGGTTTTACTTTTCTTGTCTTGCTCAGGTGCATAATTGTACTCTTTGAAATGATTATTGGTTTTTAGTATTTTGCTTGGTAAAGATTTTGCTGCTTTTTGCTGGTGCTAAATTAAATTTCTAGAAAATATTTTCCTAACTCTTGTATTTAGTGTTATTTAGTTTTTTAAATAGTTGTGCCATATTGATACTTAACCGAATGGCCAAGGAGTTATATGTTAAGTGTTTTTAGTTTTATTTAAAGATTATGTTTACTATTTTCTCAGGTGGCACAAGTAAGGGTATCTGCAGGAGAAAATTCTTTCCATTCGGCATACCTTGGTGTCAATGCAAGGCTGGAGTTGAAAATTGACTACTGTGATGAGTTGGGTAATTTTCCTTCATGAGCATTTTACATTTTCTTTTGTGTTTTATTTGCTAAAAAACTTATGAACATTGTTATATATAATTTTGTTTGCTTAGGATTCAAATTTGCTGAAGCAAATGGTGTGGTTCCACTGGATGTTGAAATTAATTACCCAAATGTACTATCCATTCAAATGTCTGATGCTGGAAGTATAACTTCTGCTGAAAAAATCATTCTGCAGGTTTTCACACTTCCCTTATGGAATTAAAATTTATATTTAAATCTTCTGGGATCACGAGAGCTGCGTTTAAATGATTGTTGGAATCTCACGTTAAATTAGAATTACTGTTTTTCTTTTGTTGAATCTACTCTAAAATCCTTCTGAAAAATTTCTCTGGTTTGAAGGCGAAGGGTCCAGGGAGAGCTCTTGCAAGGATATCGATCAGTCACAATCCAAATAAGGCAGAGTTCATTCTGGTACTTATTATTATTATTATTATTTTACTTCAACATGTTGAATTCTGCAGTCATCATGAGGTTTGTCTTAATGAAAATAGAACTGTTTTATATGCTGTCATTTGATGCTGTCGATGTGTGCTTTTCTCCTAATCTTCAGGTATCAGTTGGTGCACAGCTGTATCCTCAGAATCCGGTTCTGAACGTGGGGAATGCTATTAATTTTTCTGTAATTGCTGATGGTTAGTCGTTTTTGCATTAATTTTCTAGCTATATAAAAGCGCAAATGTTAAAACTATTATCATTACTACTAATTTTTCTTCTTTCTTTTGTAAGTGATATGAAATTTGCAAAAGCTATTTTAATATTATGCTTACCTTTTGAAACTAATTTTTAAGTGATAACTCGTTTAGGTATGACCTCAATATCAATACCAGGATTGACCCAATCGAAAATGATGAATTTGGCAGACAATGGATGTAGTGTTGTACAAAAGTTGTTTTTTTTTTTAATTATAGTGAAAAGTACTCAAAAGTCACACATTTTATAAAACAAACTGAGCTAACGCGTCCAAAATATTGCTAATGCTTATAATGAACACTCATATTGTCTGAGTCACGACATAAAGAAAATTAAAAAAAACTTCTACTCGCAAGATGGGGCCGTGCAAGATGGGGGCGTAAGTTTGTCATGTGCAAGCGATGATAAGTTGTTGTGAATCAATACATATATTTGTTTTATCCCATAAATTTAATTTAAATAATTTATATAAAAATAAAATCCATATTACATCCCCCAAAATGTTGTCAATCCTAATCATTTACTATGCACTCATACCAATGCTGCATAATTTCTCGTCTTCTGATGCTCGCTTGGTCATTCTTTAAATCAGTTATGCTTTCTTATTTTTTCTCTCATTCCCTTAGTCGCAGGCACTCTTACGACTCCCTCATCTCTTAAATCCTGTGAAACCTGATTTAAATCCCTTGTTCGGCCCCTTCGGCCTTTAATTTTAAAGGAAAAAAAAAATTAATCAAAATACCAATGTAGGCCCCTCACCTGCTTATTCTATTCTTCCAATTTCTCCTAGCCGCTGCTCTCTTTTCTCCTCCTATGCCTTAAACTCTAAATATTGGTTGCTCGCACCTCTCTTCTTCGCCAATTTCTTCCTCTCTTTGATTACCAGCACCACATATAAACCAATTGCCGCACAAACCAGCGAATAGTCACAACTTTAGCGAGCAGTAACACACTCTCTATTTCTCAGTCTTTTCTTTCTTTCTCCATCTCTAAATCTCCCTCTCTATTTCTCTCAAAAAGAAAAAAAAAGAGCCATGAAAAGAAACAGACAGAAAAAGTTAGTATTAAATCTCACTTTGATTTCATTTCCTTGTATTGTAATCTACAATAATTGCTTTACACACAAAGTTATAAATGTAAGAGCAGCTTTGCTGCGTTATGAGACATAAGTACTCGTGCACCCTAATTTGATGCGGCGGGGAAATCATGTCATTCTTTTTCACGTTTAGGGGACCTACACACATATTTCTTCGTGATATAGGTACCAATGTGCGTCTTTCTTGACTTAGCAGAGGGAAAAAGTTGCAAACTTTTGTGTCGGTATGAAGGCCTATACATGGCTTTCTTGGTGTGGTTGGGTAGAAGATCTGGTTTTGGTGTTTACATAACCCTTACATGCTTTTTTTTAGCATTTTAGACAGGTCTAGCACTTTCTCACATGTCGCATACGTGGGAGAGATGTCGGTGCTCAATTTAAATTTCAAGTGAACGTAGTTGCAAAAAATTTGAAAAGAACAAAATGAGAAGGGCCTTCTGAATTTCGAATGCAACAAAAAAAAATGCATGAAAATGAACTGAAAGGCTACAAATTACCAAAACAAGAATAATATTGAACACTTTGAATGAAATACTTATATTCTTACAAGAGCAAGAGTGAACTCAAAAAAGGCTTGAAGGAAACTTGAAAGCTTGCTAAAGAGCATGAACAAGACCTTTCACTGAAAATCCAGGATGAGGAATTTTGAAATAAAGATTTACTATGAAAATGGCCAAGACAGTTGCTTCTTTTACAGAAGAATATTCCACTATTGGGTCTATTTCTATAAAAATGCAAATTAAATTTAAGCTAATAAATGGTATTCTAAATGCATGATAAGAATCAAACTTGTTACAGTCACTACCGGATCTACAACATTGACAAGCAAGTTGACAGAATGCAATCTCTAAAGCTCAAAAATGAAATATTGCATTCATGATAATGACAAGATGTTTGTGCAAATAAGTAAATCTAGATAATGCTTAGTTATAAGGGCACATCACAAGTCAACTTCATCCTTGTAAGATGAGCTAACCGTCAAACATAGATTCATTGGCCCGTGCTCTGATAAACTTCAAGCATAAAATTATAAAATATTACACAAATTAAAAAAAAAATTGAACTAAAATTCTATTGTTTAGAGAATTGTGAAATTTTTTGAAAATCATTTAATCACTTTGAAAATTCATAAAAATCTCTTTCGAACTTAGATTTATGATCAAGTTCTTGTACAACATTCTCGAATTGATCACCTTGCCTATGGGGTAGGTTTATCAGTTCTGTCAAGACCCGGCCCGGCAAGCCCGTTGATAACGGGGCGGGAACAGTCAGTCGTACGGAAGAGCATATAAAACATAATCAAATTCATTATAATTTTAACATCAATACATAAATGTCATCCAACATTAAATGAAAGAGCCACTAAAAGACATCAAACTGAAATGTTCCTGACGAGGACATCGATCCAAGGTTCAAACAGATGTATCGCCGGAAGCATCGCAGATCGACGGCCACGATTAAAAGCTTATATTTTTAGTTATTATGCATTTTATTTTATGTATTCCTTTTGTACCCTTATGTTGAGTTGAGTCATGTTGGGGCCCTGAGGGCAATTTAGTCTTTATTTCTTCTTGTATGCTTGAGACCTATATATAGGGGTTTTTTCTCTTGTAATAGCTAATGAATATTTGAATGAAAATTATTTTGTTTCTACTTCTTCTTCTTGCATGAGAGCTTGAGAAGGGAGAGAGCTCAAGGGGAGCAAATCGCAAGGCCCACCAGTCGTTGGAAGAGTCCGCGGCTCGTGGTTAGGTTTTCTATCTTCTCCTTCATATTCACCTCCCTCTTCTTTCTCCTCCACCACAAGAAGACCCCTTCCTCTTTCCCAAACCCGCCGGCCCTAAGCCTTCCTTGGCCGCCGACCACCCCACCTCCTCCACCCGTCCAAGCCCTTCACCACCGGCCCTCTTCCACACTCCCCACTTGTTTGAATTTTGAAAATACATATTATTTGAGTTAAGAAAATTTCCAAATTTGTCAAGCCAAATATGGAAAGTTTTCAAATTCAAAACAATTCGAAATTCGAATCAAGGTGGATCTCTTAATCAAACCTCCTCATGCACACAAGCAAATTTGGAAGGTTTGTAACTTGCTTCCACATCCTCTCCTCTCCCTCTTGATGCCGCCGGCCTTACTAGGCTTTCCCCTCATTAATTGCTCCATTAATCCCCCCCTCAATTTGAAATTAAAAAATTAATTTCAATTAAAAAAAACTCCCTCCCAAAATTTCAAATCCTGAAATTTATTGCAGGATTTGCTTTAAAACTCCTCCCTCTCCTCTCTTGAAACTGCCCCCCTCCTTGACTCCCCCCATTAATTCCCCAATCAATGCCATAACTCCCTTGGATTTGAAATTCAAAATCCAAGTCAATTCCCTCTCAATTTTAATCAAAACTGAAATTAATTTTCAGATTTTGATTAATCTCCCTACACTCTCCACTAAGCCTAATTTCTCTAAACCCAAGCTCCCTTTCCCTTACACCCGCCGGCTTCACCCTCTTCTGGAAGACCACTTGAATCGCATCCTTCCCACACTCATAGACGTCCTCGACGAACAATTCAAGGACTACTCGTGGACCGTCAACGACTATCCGTCCATGCCTCCACCACCGCAACCTTTCCGTGGCTCAAGATCATTGGTGTTGCGACCTTCCTCATGGCATCGTTAAGTGTGTTGAAGATCTTCTCCCGCTAAGCCTAGTGTAGTTGAGTGATCCATCTCCAAGGTGAAAACTCTCTATATTAAATTGCGGATTGTTGATTAATAGCTTTTGGTATTGCTACTATCTTTGGTTACCTAGGAGTTTTGGCTAATCTACTTGTACTCCTTCGCCTAAGCAAGTTAACACTAAGAACCTTTAATGATTTTACTTGTTATCTCAATAAGCTCTTAATTGGAATTCCATTGTCAATCACTTTTAATTTTCTTAAGAAGCTCCTTCGCATGTAGTATTACATCAGTTCCAAACTGTTCTTCTCACACAACTGTTAAAACTTTTAAACTATCAATTAGATAAACTTCATATTACTGATCAAACACAAGTACATACTCAAACTTAAACTCACAAACTACACAGGTACATAACAAAGACTCAAACTGAAATAATAAAAGAGAACCTTTCCTCCTGAGGTCCCCTACGACGATACGTGTACGGTTGTCGTGCAGCCATCACTTGTCTCCTGAAAAACATTTCCAAAAGTTGGATGAGCTTACTCGCTCAGCAGGTAATTCATAACTTAGTTAATTTCATAAGATTGATATAACAAAAACATTTATAATTGAAATCTTTTCATATCATTTGCAAATAAAAAACATTTGAATTTCCATTCTTACTTTCCTTTTTCCCTTCTTTAACATTTCATTATTTCCTTTCACCTTCATATGCAATGCAAATGCAAAAATGCTTATGCTAAATGTATACACCCGTCCCGGAAGTACCCTTATTCGTACTGATCAGGTATGCAGTCAAATTTTTGGCAATTTCCTTTACCTTTTGGCTCCGAAGAACTCCATTACCATTTGGCTTTTGTAAGCCCTTTTACCATTACCGTTTTGGCACTTCCGGATCAACATGCATATTAATGTGGACGGGATCATTGTTGAAGGGGATTGCCGAAATGCTATTAATTGGCTCCAGAGTGCTTTCAACCGTCTGAATAAGCTTCATTTGCGGACTGATGGGCCGGACCTTTCCTTCCTCTTGGATTTCCGGCAAGTTCTCTTTCAGCATGTTCCGCGGCAGTGCAACCAACCGGCCGATTTCTGTGCCAATTTCGCTTGTTTTGGTGATTTTGTTTGGAAGTCGGATGATAGTAGAAATGTACCCCCCTCCTTTTTGTCTTTGT